AACATTGAAAGAGAAGAACACAGTTGGAGAGTAAACATTCCCTGCTTTTAAGATTTAATAGGAAGCCACAGAAATAAAGGTAGTTTGGTACTGTTGTCAAGATAAAAAAAAAAAAAAAAACCACATACAACAATGAGACAAAAGAAAGAGTCTAGTAACAGATCGATACATCTCTGAGCAACTGATTTTTGAGAGAAATGCAAAGGTAAATCAGTGAAGAAAAACAGCCTTTTCAACAAACTGTATAGGAACAATAGTATATTCCTGTGCAAAAAGGTGAACTTTGATTAATATATCACACCATATTACAAAATTTACTCAAAATGGATCATAGTTCTAGATGTAAAAACTAAAACGCTAAAATTTCTAAAAGTAAACACAGGAAAAGTAATCTTTTAGTCCTTTAAGTTAGGCAAACATTTCTTAATATGATACTGAAAACTGATCCATAAAGAACAAATAAGTAAATTGGAATTCATCAAAATTAGCAATGTCTTCTGTTTGAATGTCAAATAAAATAAAGGGCACAAAGTATGAGAAAATCTTTGAAAATCATAATTTTTCTTGCCTCAAAAAAAAACCCCACAAAAAAAACAAAACCTATTTTTGAAAAAGGAGTCAGTGTTCTGGAGGGATAGACGCATTTTCTGTCCTTTGGGCAATCTTCTTCATCTGTGTAGTTACTCACAGCTGAGCTTTTGATAAATATTCATCATGATTTGATAATGTTTGCAAAAAAAAAATCTCATTCCAGAGAAGTAGAATCCAGCTGAATTATATATTAGGTCTGGAAAGAGCCTCTAGCCAAAGAGGCTGATGGTCAGGCTTTGAGGTCTGGTGCTTAGGGGAAAATGGAGGAATGTTGGTTAGATTGATGCTGGACACCAGGGACACATAGGTGATCTAATTTAACATAGTTCTGGGGTTGCTTCTATCGGCTGCATGGGTATCGTCTTGCTTGCTCACAGCTCTAGTCACATCTTTCTCAGTACAAAGAACTGCCTTCTTCATTGAAAAGAACTGGGAACCAGGGAGAGCAATAGTTCTGCTCATTTGCTATAGCTTCTCTGTAATCATATCTTCCCTCCACTTCTAACTCACACCTGTGCCAAGAAATAGTCTCTCTGGGCATCTTGTTCTCCCTCACACCTGTGCCTGGAATCTCCATAGGGCCTGGAATGGGTGTGCATGAAGCAGAGCCTGTGTTTAAAGACCTATCTCCCAATAGTATTAGCTCACAGCCTTCCAGACCTGTGCCGCAGTCTGGCTGGGCACAAGATCACAAGCCACTCACAGCTTTGTAGATTCAAACAGCAATTCTTTATTCCCGAACTCACACCGGCCCTCTACAAACACGTTCTGGGGAAATCCAAGTTCTGCCACCAAAATTCACGTACTCCACCAGGCTTTGAATCCCAAATACTTTCTGAATCCCATGAGAACTCAACGGGAACTCAGGCAGCAGGATACGCCCTATTCCCAGCAGGATACACCCTAAACCTGGATCTGCCCTAATCCAGTAGGATCCTCCCTAAACCTGGATCCACCCTGGTCCTTGAGCAGGGTCACCTTTCTCAAACATACATGCAATGTCACAGCGAATGTCCAAGGCAAATCCATTTCCACGAGTCCTTCCTCTAAGCAACATGGGGTACGCTTGCCAGGAAATTTCGATGCGTCATTCCTACTTGGCAATGGCCCTCAGCAGACCTGGGGCTTTTTGAGACCACCTGACTCAAAGTTTTTAAGTGAGGAACAAGAACTTCAAATCATCCTAAGAGGGTCGAGGTCCACTGACCCACACATGTTTCTCTAGCTTTTAATCCACGTGGAGCTGCTGCCTGCAATCCAGTGTTGTGTATTTGCTGTCAACTCACCACTCTCTTGTCCGGGACTCTCTGGGTAAACACYTTGTAGAGTCGCCAGCTCTTCCCCAGAACAGGGCCAATCACAAGGGAGGTCCCAATGCACAGCAGAGACAGTCTTATCTATAGGTGGAAGGGGACAGAAGCAAGAGTCAGGACAGGAATCTTCATCGGTCTCCATGCATTCTGATCTGCAAAGCTTCAGGTCCATAGAGGGCATCAAATAGAAGATGGACCTAAGTAGCTGAGTGTGTCAGGGATCACCTGTGAAAGTGCCCATGCCAGGGATATGAGGAACTGCTACTCTCGGGAGCAGCTAATGGAAAAATTTATCCAAGCTTTAGCATTATATTCAAAACAAAATTTCAAAATGTCACCTACCTGAATGAGAGTTTCCATTGAACTCCCTGTAAAAACATCTTGAATCCCAAAGAGATAAGCACTACTGTAAGTCAGACAACTGCCCAGTAAGGTCACAATGTTCAGATTGGGACTGGACATCTTCACAATCCTAGATGGAATTAGGAAGAAAGATACTTAAAACTATGATCCTTTGCACTGGGGTTAAAGATCTCCAAGATCCAAGCTTCCTCTCCAGCATAATCTTCAATGCAGCCCCAGAGTGAAGGTTCCTGCTGGGAAGAAACCACTTCACTGCCCTGTGAAAACTTATGGCTTATTCAAATTTATTTTCAAAGAGAACTAAATTCTGGCACTTCTTGCAAAGAAGGCTGACTACCTACACTCAGGAGGCAGCAGACAGGAGTTAGGATGGTATCCATGAAGTTTAGGGTTGCTAAGGGACTGCATATACAGCTGAGTGAATAAATAACTAGCAGGTAGATACCCAGAGAGACAGTTTGGAGCTTTTAGAAATGAGCTGTAAGGTAAATTTCTATCTGAAAAGAGGTTTGGAATTTTTTGCATACACTCTGTACTTTAATTGACATGTAAATTTTTCTTTTTCTATYTGAGGAAGAAAGAAAAAGCAGGGATGAAAAAGGCAAGAAATTAGGGCAGGATCTTTTCTCCAAGTAGTTTTAAATGAGGGTATAGAGCAGTTAGATGATTAGAGTGAGATGCGGACAATCAGGGTCTCAGTCTCTGAGCACCAGCAGAGATTCAGGCTGGGAAACCAGGCTTCCTGAATAGTGACTGAAAACAAATACAATTAGCAAGTAACAAGAAGGAATGTAATTGTATTTAAGCATTTTAATCTAAATAGTGTATACTATATAAATGCAATATTACAACTAAGAATCATTTGATAATCACTGGAGATATATATATATATATATATATATATATATATATATATATATATATAAAATAATTTTTTTATGTGTGGTACTGGGGATTGAACCCAGGACTTTGCACATGCTAGGCAGGTACTAAGCTATATTCCCAGCTCTTTATATTTTGTTTTGAGATAGTGTCTTGCTAAATTGCAATTGCTGTCCTCAAATTTGTGATCCTTCTGTCTCGGCCTCTTGATTAGCAGGAATTGTAGGCATGTGCCACCACACCCCACTTTATACTTGTATTTTATATAATAACTGGGGAGAAAGGCATTCTTCCCTGTCTCCAAGTTACCTGATTGAATGGCTTAAAGGCCAGGACAAGGTAAAACTATCCACTTAAGGTAGCCTATTTTATTTATTTTTTTATTCTGTTTTATAATTATTTACATATTTTAATTGTACAAATTAATGGGGTTGACAGTGACATTTCTACATATGCATACATCATGCCTTGATCATATCTAACCTCTCTATTACCCTCCTTTATCCCACACCCCCTTCCTCTTTTCCTTCCTTAATAGACTTTCTTCTACTTTCAGGTTTTTGTTTTGTTTTGTTTTTTAAGTTTCCACATATAAGAGAAAACAGGTGACACTTGTCTTTTCGTGCCTGGCTTAGTTTTTTTTTTTTTTTTTTAACATGATGATCCCCAGTTCCATCCAGCAATCAAACAATGACATAATTTCATTCTTCTTTATCATTGAATAATTTTCCATTACACACACACACACACACACACACACACACACACAAACACACACACACATACCCCGTATTTACTTTATTCATTCATGCATTAGCTGATTCCATAACGTGGCTACTTTGAATAGTGCTTCAGCAATAAACGTGGGCATGCAGGTATCACTTTAGTATGCTGACTTCGTTTCCTTTGTGGGTATACMCAGGAGTGGGAAAGCTGGATCATATGGTAGTGTGCTATTGTTAGTTTTCTTCTTTTTTCTCTCTTTCTCTCTCTCTTTCTCTTCCTCCCTCCCTCCCTTCCTTCCTTCCTTCCTCCCTCCCTCCCTCCCTCCCTCCCTCCCTCCCTTCCTTCCTTCCTTCCTTCCTTCCTTCCTTCCTTCCTGAAACTCCATACTGTTTTCTACAGTAGCTATACTAATTTACATTCCCTTTACATTCCCACCAACAGTGTGTAAGGATTCCTTTTATTCCCCCTCATCCTCACCAACATTTGTTAATTTTTTTTTTCATAACAGCCATTCAGTGCAGCCTATTTTGATGACAGTATTTAGGAAGCATTCAACAAGCAGTCTGGCATGTTGCATTTGCCAGTGTCATAATCACTACGTGCCACATGGCTGGTGTCTTAATACATCCCCATACACAAGAACACCGTACCATCACCCTGAAATTCAGCTTGGTCACCACAGGCCTATATATATATTTGAGCTTAACTTTTGTCTTATAGTAAAAATGTTGATTTTTTCTCTCTCTAAAAATGAGAACAACTTTCATGTATTCCCTTGTAAAATGGAGATAATAATAATGATAATACTTTCTGTCTGAGAGTTTTGAGGCACCACTGCAAAGTGCTTGGCACAGAGCTTGGCACACAGTAGGCATGTCACCAACATTAGGGACCAGTATTATAATCTCACCATTGTCCATGTTTCAGTAACCTAGGAATCATCTTTTTCTTCTTCTGTTTATCACCTTTGCTCAATCACCAAGTTCTCTTCCTTCTTATGTCACACAGTCTTTCTTCTCATCTCATTCCTGTTACCACATTTATCCAAGACACAGTCATGTGAGAGACAGGAGATAAAGTCAGGTGTGACAGGTGGGGATGATGGCTCTAGGCCTCTGTTTCCTCTTCCATGAAATGAAGATAACACCATTTTTCATACCCCCCAGGTCATTGTGGGGCCCAAAAGAAGTATGAGCCAAAACTTAATTCTAAGGTGATATAAAAATATTAAGTTTTAGATTTTTGGTGTAACTTTTCACTTTCTGCAACAGCATTTTTTTCCTGTTATGGCACATGCTGTACCTTACTTTCAGACTTATTTTCCTAAAATACCACCTTTATCACTTAGCAAGAATGACATGTAATTGGGGATTAGCTCAATAGTACAGCATTGATCTATATGATCCTAGTATGGATGAGGCCCTGGGTTTRACCCCCAATACTGCCCCCCCAAAACTGTGATATCTAAAAGAATATTTTTTTTCATTCTTCTGTCATTTACCTTAAGTCTCCTCTATCCAAATTTAAGACCTAGCCTATCCTACCTAGACACATTCTTAGGTCTACCTCCTCTGCCTCCATGTTTTCCAATTGTGGACTTACTGTAGAGTGATCTTCCCTAGTTTCTTTGTCTCTCTAAGACAGAAGGGGGAAGATGTGGTAAATGTTRGCTACATAAATAGGAATGATGCTAACCAGCACTTTCACAAAGCATTCTTTAAGAAAAGTACTACTTTAGAAAGACTCACGTTGACACTGACTTAGAGCAGAGGTCAATGATGCCATGGGGTTGGCCACTTGGAAGCTTGAGCAGTGATTTTAACCAGTGGGGGGACTTGTGCAAGACCAATACTCAAGACCATGTCCCCCTGTCCCCCACCCCCTAGTTGCTCAAATACTCCTGCACATAAGCCATGGATATCTGATGGTGACTTCCTTATCAAGCACCTGCCTGGATCTCACAGCCACACATCTGTTGCGTCTAGATCACTAATAGATAGGTTTCTCACTTTATTCTTCTCTGCCCCCAGTTTATCTGAATACCATAATTCTGTTTCCTCTGAGAGATTCAGTCCTKCGTGGAATCTTGATTTAGAATTCTTCCCTTTTCTGATCTAGTTAAGAGGAACTCCATTTAGTTAGTTTTGATGAAATAGATATTACACAGTATTCATATCKCAGACACTGTTGCAAATTCATTGTTCAAATGACATGGTTTAGACTTACATATATATTCTTTCATATTTTTTTTCTGAGGAAATTTTACTAAAAACTTGCCTCAGAAAGGGAAAAAAGTGAATAGAAGATGATTTTCCTATTTTGTTTGGCCTAGTGAACACCTGTGAAGCCACTTAAAGGTGAATCATCTCTAATTCACCAGGATAATTATGTCTGGGGAATGACTTTGCCATACTGATAGGAATTCAATCATCAATGTCATTTATATTTTTCAGTCACAAACATACAATTTCCACAAAGTCATAAGATGTAAACAGTATATACTTAATTGTAAATAGTGCCATCTACATTACTGTGTTCCATTGATTAAGAGTTAAAAGCCTGAACTCGGTGACTGGCAGTCTGAAACAAGGTGGAATTATTTWAAAAAAAAAAGATGTTATAGCTATCTCACTATCTTTTTCTTTTCATTTATTGTCTCAAAGTATAAGGCAAGAGCTTTCTTGATTTTTACACTTTTAAGTAAGATTTCTGTATATGTAGAGAAATACTTTTAGATGTCTATAGAAAAATATCTATGTCTTGCAGAACTTGCATAATCCTGAAGTATCATTTCAATAATCTTTAATGAATTCTGATGCTTAATTGGCATCCACCAGCTCATGGTATGATGTTAAAAAATCTTTATCAAATATTGGTTTCAGAATTTGAAGACATTATATAGGGAGTTATTGGGTTTAGAAACATGGCCTAAGATTGAGGCAGAAGGTATTTCTTGACGTGCTGACTATTAGAAAATTTTCCTAAGATGTCATAGGATGTGCTTTTTAAAATGCTACATGAATTGATGTAAGTGGTGTCACTGAGCTTTAACATATCCAAAACCAAATATGGATGTCTTTCCAAAAGGCTTTTTAGTGAAATAATTAAGATTTAAATTATGATTCTTTTTCAACCCCCTGTTTTTGTTCTGTGCTACAATGGGATKCTAAATTCATCTCATATAGAACTCCAAACACTCTTATCATATCTGATGTGTTATCTGATGTGTTCCTGCAAATCTGATMTTTTTGCTGTTGTGCCTATTTCTAATGTCTGATTCATTGTGATACTAATTCAGATTCTTTGCACCTCAAACTAATATTAGTGTGACCTCTAGCCATTTATATTTAAACTCTGTATCATAAAAGCTAGCCTGCTCCCTTCTCTCCTGCCTGGGCCACCATCTTAGGAGGCCATCCCAGGAGATTTCATTAACCTTTCAACCTTCAGTCTTGTAAATTCTCTATTATAATGACTTCACTTTATTCCACTCCTGACACC